GGGGAGTGGGGCTGTCGCGTGCCAAGTGCTGGCCCCTTCGAATAAAATCGATAATTCAACAACTGATACGGAGCGCAACAAGTCGACCCACAACAAACACTCCTGTTAATGCTCTCTGGGGAAAAAAATTGAAATTGTTTTGGAACTTCCCTTTTTTTTTTTTTGTAAGAATTCTGAAAAACAGTTTGGTTTTAAGTAGAGAAAAAAAAACCTAACTGAACACTTTGACTCTTAGAAAGTCCAAACGAGAAAGCTGTGCGTCCATCAAGCTTCATTGAACGTGTAATCGGCCCAATATGAGAAGCTCGTGCTCTCTGCGGGCTTCACTGAATGGCATTAAAACGGCATCTGTGAGGAAAATACACGCAGTGATTCCTAAAGTCCCCTTTGAATAAAAGCTGCCCACAGAAAGACCCCCCAGACCCCCCATGGGATTCGAACCCTCCACCACGCCGCCTATATTTATTTACCATTATTATCATCATTAGTTGTGGGAGCACTTTTTCTGTTTTGCGTTAACATAAAATATATCATGAAATCTTGGTCTGAAGTTGGATAAAATGCTTCTTAAATGGAAGAGTTGTCATTTTTGGCCTTTCTAGCTTAATTAGCATTTCCCCCACAGTCTCCCTTTTTAGAGTCTTGGGGGAGCAGATCTGTTCCCTTGGATTCCTTCAGGATTTTGGACACAAATAGTAAAATAACGAATTAACGAAACCGAAACAAGATAGCGTCCCTGTAAGCCGTTGGGGGAACGGGAACAGCTTCAGTAAAGCTTTGTTTGGGTCCGGTCCTCCTAAAGAGAAGCTGAGTGGGAAGGATTTAACACCTTCTCCAACAATCTGAGAAAAAAAGCTAATTTATTAACAAGGTTGTTTTCAGCTGGTGGATCTACCAAAAAAGAGTTAAGAATGTCTCTGACGACCTGATAAATTGTCCGATTTGTTGTCCCCCGAGGAGATACCCTGTAAAATCTGGCTTATATTTATGTTCCTCTCTGCATGAACTCCACTTACTTCCATGATTTCTCAACTTTCCATCAGATCTGAGGGATGCGTCCATCAGGAGCATCGTACTGGACGGTCAAGGATTAAATCAAAGAGGTCAACCTTGAATTGCGGTGAGATAGCGAAGGTAACTCTTATTTTTCACTATTTCGTCAAACGGTATTGAGTGGGGGAGTTTCTTGGCATCGAACTGTAGTCAGCCAGAAGACATCTGGTGGTGTGGTCAGTTCTTCTGCGTCCATTTCTGAATGAATCCTTAGCCCAGAGGCTGAAACGCTGACCACAGCTCCTTGATCGCATCGGGTTCTTAACCACTGAGAGAACTTAACCCTTAACTGCTGCCTGATCCCAACAATAAGCTCAAATATTCTCTGAGGGGGGACTTGTGTGGGGAGAAAAAAACCCCTTCAAATCATCATTGCTATGAATGATTACAGTTAAGTGGAAGATGTCCCACCCCCTTCCCATCCCTATCTTCTTTTCTCTAACCCTCTGTATCTACGACCGTGAGCATCTGCCCAGGGACGAACAGATGTAGGCACCTGCGTGGTGGGCCCACATATGCACACATGTCCCCTCCCTCAAACCCCCTTTCAGCCCTCTATGAGACCCGGAGCAGATCACAATGGGGAGCAATCATGGATGCAGTAACCAAATACTGCCTATCCCCTCAGGACACTCACTCTGTTAGGGGCATTGTCGCCGGTTATATCAAGTGGCTGTACCGGACAATCTGTTGTATGACTGCTCATTTAAGGAATAACATCATTCACGGGGACGGGAGAGGGAGGGATCACAGGACCGGACTTGGGGGGGTGTAGAGGTGGGTGTCTGGACCACGGTTCTGGCTCCGGTAGAAGGAGTCCGTTTGGTTTTTCAAACATGCGAGATTGGCTTTTTAGGGTATGATTGAATCGAGTCCAGTCGCGGGACAAGTGGCTCTTTAGCTTTCTTTTCCTTTTTTTTTGGGAGGGCGTTGGGGCGGCAGGTGCTAGCTGGGGTAGCGGGATGAAAGGGAAGCTTGTCGGGGAGAGGAGGGTAAAAGACCAGGTTACACATTAAAAAAAAAAAAGCCTTGTTTTGTTGGGAGAAAAGAGGGCCAACAGCCCACCGATCTAGCCGCGGCGGATAATGGGGCAATAATAGCCCCGTGTCCCCATCTCTCAGCTGCCGCCGGACGACAGAGGATACGTATGCACCTGTTGTCTCCCCCCCTCCCCCCCTTTTGTCTGTCCGGGACGCGTTAGCGGGCGGCTCCTCAGGAATGCTCCCGTCCAGAGGCCGGCCTCCTCGTCCCAGGAGAGGGCCGAGCCACTCCGGGCCCGTGGAGGAAGGGTGTCGCCGGTTTGTAAGGGGGAATTGGGTCGGGCAGCGGCACAGAAGCTTTGGAGGATGTGGTGTGTGTGTGTGTGTTGGGGAGGGAGGGGGGGTGAGGGGTGTGTTCCTCAAAAGCCAATGTCTTCTCTCCTCTTCAGGGACCTGCTGTCCGGAGAGCCCTGTCCTAAATCACTGGCCCCAGGGGGAAGGCTGTCCATTGTGATGAGATGGCCCCTGCAAGCTGGGCTGCCAGCTGCCACTGCTGCAGCGTTATGCCCCCCCACCCCCCCGACCCCGCCACCACCACCACCCCCACACCCCCCTACTCCCCCTACAGGCCACATCTCCTCCCCATATC